TCAACATAAAATCACGAATTCCAATACAATTTAACCAATAGAAAACTAACCTACATAATTTAAAAAGTCAAAAACAACAAAAACATAATTAATTTTACTTTGAAAACTTAAAACATCATCTAATATAAATTAAAAAAATCTCTCTATCATTTAATATGATACGGAGAGATAGAGATCTTTAGTTATGATATTTATTTCTAGGTTTGGGATAGAGGTATGACAGAGAGAATGAGCCACATCAATCATGATGTCTGTGAGAATTGAATTCAGATCGGTTCATATCACATCGAAAAAGATGAAGTTTCGGGGACAAAGTTTCAATTCAAAATGGAAAATAACGTAAATTTGGCTAAGTATAAAGAAGGTTTCTCCTTGGTTATGCATTGTGGTTTCAGGTTTTCTGTTCGGTTCGAAGTAGTGTTGTGATCAAAGGGGTCAAGCTTTGTTAGGCTTGGTTCGATCTTGGCTAGTCGGTCCTCTGACTTCTCACGATAGTCTCTCGCCATTTCATTGCTATAGCAGAGTCGAGCTTAATATAAGTTTCCTTGAGATTTCCCACAATTATCTTGGGGTCTTGAATCTCTAAGGATTTGCTCTGGTCGATCGCAATTATCCTTTTTTTTTTTATCTTTATTCGGCTATTAGTGTTATCGCAGTTTTATTATTGTTCTTGTGTATAAATTTTGGTCATTTTGTAACATTTCCGTATGCAATTCAATAGTTAACATTTTATTAAAAACGAAAAGGTTTGTACTAAAGGAGTAAATGGTGTCGGCCGCTTTTTTATATAGTTCGCGTTATAGGTGTACTAGTGGTATGTATACCATCTTTAATGTAACAAAAATATATATATGGTTTTACGGAAAGTTTTGACATTTTTTACACCGCTATTTTCCTAAAAACTCAGCCCTAAAGACATCAAGAGTTCATAGTTGTGTTCATTGGCGAAAGAACTAATCTCATCTTCAGAACTCAAGAAGCACCGAAAGTTAAAGATCGACTCTACATCGAGATCATTCTCAAAGCATCTTTCAAGGAGCTTTGCGGTATTCCCAACAGTACCAAACATCTATCTTTTGTTAATGTTGCATTGTCTTTTCTTTATGTATTAAGTGAAAACTTTCAAGGAATGGACTCTAAAATAAAGAGTTTCTTGCTTTCCCCTGTTGTAAGGTCGAGTTGATTTTAATATAAGTATGTTTTGTCCACAAAAAAAAATAAATTATACTGCTATTATAATTAGGTTTTTTCAAAAAAAAAATTAAAAATAATAATAATTAGGTTTTTATGTGTTTGCTTCGGAATACCATGAAATCGGATGAAAAAGCTTTTTTTAGAGCATGATTATCCCTGAAACCATAGAGCTTTCATAAAAAAAAAAATTGAATAAAAAATTAATAAAAGAAAAAATTTGTATCATGGGCTACGTGAGACGGATCATCAAAGAAAAACTGAAGAGACGGTATCATGAGCCACGTGGCGACTCCCGATTGGGCATTGAGATTTTTTTTTTTTAAATAGTAAATATCATTAATGAAAATAAAAGTTTAGGA